TCACCATTGGGGAAGCAGAGTGAATGGTACTCTGGACTCTGGGCTGTTTTCTCAACTTATAATTATTTCAAAATAAAACATTACCAATGCCCAACATCCAGTGGAGTGAAACGCAGGGCAGTCTGCGGATGGCTTCAGGGCTGCCTCTCTTGTCCACAGCGGGAGGGACTGTGCCCGAACTCAACTTCTCACTGCACTAGGAGCCTCTAAGAAGTCCAAGTGCTGGGCAAGCTGGACCTGGAGTCTAAAATTCTTATTCCTCTCATGCCAAGCTACTCACCTTTTCTCTGTAAAAAGGAGTCTACAGCCCGACCCTAGTGGTGTGTCCGTCTGGGCCTCTGTTCCAGATGCCTCTCCACTGGGCACTCAGAGAAGGGGACTCTGCTCCTGCTCAGCCTTCTCACGCTGGGCTCCAGCCTGGGCCAGGCGATCCGTGTTGGTGTGAGCCCAAGCCCTTTGGTCAACAGACCTGAAGGCTGCAAGGACGGAGCCATGTGGGAGATGGGGCAGACGGAAGAGCCACTGCCAAGACTCACCAAGGCAGGAGAGAGTCCGCCTAACATGTTTGCGTCTGAAATGCAGTGAGTGTGGGTGACAGCAGTAGGAGAGGAGGTCAGAGAGCTTCTGGGGGTCCAGACAAGTCATGTGTGTGCTCCTAAGTCTCGTGTGCCTCCATGAAGACTGGCTTTCATGATGAGTGAGATGGAGAACCAATGGCGGGTTCAAGACAACGGATTGACAAGATCTGACATATTTTTTACAGGATCCCTCTGCTTGCTGCATTGAGATAGACTCTTGTCTTAAATGTTTATTTTCTAAACATGCTTTTGTTTCTTGTATTTGTTTTAAAGGAATACATCCTTATTTAAAAAAAAATATGCTACATGATTTTAAATGAGACTTCTTTCATTGTCACCAAGTTTCAGCCAAGGCCCCGAAGACTGAGAATAGATGACAACTGTGCAGGGAATGAATGCTAAGAGGGGATGAAAACAATTTGTGTTCCTCAGTTTACCATCCCATCTTGAGGTGACATAAGGAGAAATAGAGAAGGGAGCCGAAGCGTCACAGGATTTCATGTTAGAGAGAGAATTTTTGGAGTACCGTGGCAACGCTCTCCACTGATTCTGAAAGTTCAAATTGTTCGGAGGCCGTGCAAGTGCAGCCGATGTGAAGATGTAAGAGCTGGAGTTGGAGAGTTTTGGGCGCATTCCCCAGGAAACTTGGGGGCGGACAGTCGGTCGCATGCGAGCTGGTTTAAGCAGAAGCGATATGTTACAGGGAACTGGGAGCTCCCTGAATTTGAGGGGCCATTTAGATGTGCCGACAGATGGCATTTGGAACCAAAGTAGATGTGAGTGGCGATGGAGAAAGCAGGGCGAGAAGCAGCAGGGGAGGGTGTGCCCAGGACTTGGACAGCTACAGAGGGAGGATGGACAGAGGATGGGGTGGGGGTGGTGTCACAACTGCTGAGAAAGAGAGGGTTTTGAGAAGAAGGGAGAGGTCGACTGAGCCAGCTACCGAGAAGCCACTAAGTGTAAATCTGAAGCTGCAGGGAGGCTGGTGGGACTCCTGAGAGAGCAGTCTGGAGGGCGCATAAGTGCCAAAGCCCAAGCCAGACCTAGTGCTGTGAAGATGTGACAGCAGGTGCGAGAGCACCTGCACACCTGCTCCCACGCCTTCTGGCCTCTGCGGTAACCCTGGGAGGTTGGTGGGTCGACCAGGCAGGCAGGAATTCATTTTCATGTTTCAAAGGGGAGAAACCTGAGGCTCAGAAATGTTCAAAGCCTTGATCTGTGACCAAGCCAGGTCTCGCGGCTCTAAACCCAGTGCTACTGTTGGGCGTAGTCGCTGTCTTTCCATCACATCACAGCCCGAGATAGCGGTGGCTTGGCTTCAAAAACTCAATGGGCAGTACACTGTGAAAATTCCCACAACTCTTTAATTTACTAGGCAGCAATAAGTGATGATGCCTTATCACTGCAAAGAAAGGGCACTAACGGTCTAAGCCCTGCTGAACCTGCTACCCTTCCTATATGCTTTTATCTTCGTAAATATTTATTTAGTTGCAAAAACCAGACAAGGGGGTGTCATTCATGACTCTTTCCTTCCTTTCGGTCCTGGCATCAAATCTTAAGTCCTTAACTATATCTCATACCCATGACTTTTCTCCATCCCTCCTGTTGGGGGTCAAGTTCAGGTTGTCATGGCCTGTACCACTTCCTGATTGGCTTCTGTGTCTCTGGTCTTACATCCTCTGATCTATCCTTCCCGTGTCACCAAACAGATCTAAGTCTGACCTGTGCTTGGCACACAGGTTTCTTCGTCCCCTGGTGCAGACCTGCTTGTTTAGTCTCCTTCCCTCCTCTTTCCTCACACCCCATGCTCTGGTCAAACCCAGCTCTCTCGTTGTCCGAACTTCCAGTACCGACAACTACTTTGTGTGTTTATGGCTGGCACCTGCTATGTTCTCTGCCTGGGGAAGCCAGGGATAGCCTCCGAAAGGAGGTCAACCTTGAGCTGAGACTTGCAGAATGAGGCGGAGTGTGCCCGATTAGCACGTGGTATCCACGGTTCTTGACCTCAAGGAGTTTGTTACGTCAGAGGGAGACAGAACATGTCATCCCAGTACTTTGTGAGAACTGCTGGATTAGAAGTATGCACAGACTCCAGTAGGAAATCCTTGAGCATGATGAAGTCTTTTCAACTCAACTCAGGGAAAAAAAAAAAATGACACCAGCTCATTTGCATTTACAGAGCAGCTAACTGAGCCAGCCTCTGTGATGTACGGGGGCTAACGTGGCACCTTGCACATAACAAAATAAATCTAAGTGGGACAAAAAATGGAGTAGCACATTGTGAAATACACCTGAAGGCAGGGGACAGTCTTTCGGAAGTGCACTTGTGAGGCCCTCCATATTTTATTACATGAGTGGACCTCATGTGCCGTCTCCTCCCTCTTGCCCTCTCCTGAATGATGGTGCTGCAGGAGGCTCTGAATGAGGCCTCTCCCGTGTCTCTCCGTTCCATGTCCCTGGCGACTCCTATCCAGTCCCGTGAGTCACTCCCAGCTCCATATCTCCGGCTCAGGTCTGTTAATATAATCGCTCATGAAACATCTCTGTTTGGCAATCTCACAGGCATCTCCATTTCATCATGTCCAACACGGAACTTGCCACCTTCCTTACTTCTTACGCCCCCTCCCCAAGTCCCCTTAGTTCTTCTTTTTGTCAATTTCAGTAACTACTACCCAGTTGTCAAATTAAGCAACCTGAAAGTCATCCTTAATTTTTTAATCCCATCTGTAAACAACCCTTTCCAACTCCACCTCCTAAATCTTACTCAGTCTTGATACCTCTGCCTTGATACTTCCCGATCCAGGCTACATCGAATGGGTGTGAACTAGATAGTGTGTCATCTGTGCCCGAAAACCCATTAATGCTAAATGCAATGTGGTACTCAGGACTGTATCCTGAAACAAACAAAGGAATTTAGTGGAAAACCTGTGAAATATGAAAACAGTTTGGAGTGCAATTAACCAGAATGCACCAGTGTTAGTTTCTTACTTTTGATAAAGGTACTGTGGTCACAGAAGGTGTGAGCATTAGGGGAAGGCAGGGAAGGAATACATAAACGCTCTCTGTGGTATCTTTGAGACATTTCTGTAAATAAAAAATATCCCCAAATTAAGTTTATTAAAAAAAAACCCACCAAAAACAATAGTAGCACCCCTTTCCCTTATGTTAGAGTCCAAAATCTTTAACATGACCAGCTTTCTCTCTCCAGCCAGACTAAACTTATTAATTCTTTCAGTGAGATAAGCCTCTCCTTGCTTCCAAGTATTCACAATGTCTGGCCCATTAGTAAGTGCTGGATAAAAATACACATCGTATTTTTTTAAATCAAGGGACTCGCTACAAATGTGGGGACTGACGGGTCTTGGGAATCTGTATGCTAACCGCATGTGTCAGTAGTAGTGAGGTCGGCCCGGGGCAATTACGTCAGCTGTGTGTACGGACTTGTCTATGCTCTCCTCCGCCCCTTCCCCTTCCCCTGCCCTGCCAGGCTGCTGTGCTTGAAATTATGCACCAGCCCCCCCACCCACCCTGCCACTGTCCCACCTCCCACAACCTCCTTGTGGACCATTTCACAGTGGGTTTCTAGAAGCAACACTGCCTCCCTCCAGGTCTAACTACCAGAGCTACTCCAGTGGCAGGAATTTTAAGCCACGTAAGAGGAGCCACGTCAGGCTGCCAGATGGTGCGGGGCGATAGGCATGGTTGAGCAGGCTTCAGACTAAAGCAAGCTCGAGGGGATCGAGTGTTGTAATCATGGTCAAGAAAAGGAGTCAAGTGAACCTCATTACACATGATAGAGCCCTGTTATAATACCCCATATAATTACCTGGGCCTGGATTTAACCTGGGACAAATCCTTCTCCTCTCCTGCTTCGTCCTTCCTCACCCCATGTTACAGCCTTTCCTCTCCTAAGTCATCACTCTGAAAATAATGATAATAAGACATAACTATTACTTTAGATGACTTTAGACCGTCATTTCCTCTAAGACATCACAGTCAGAATGTTGTCCCCAGTTCTTCAGATGAGCAAATTCATTCTCAAGGTCACATGTAGCTGAACGGAGGCAGATCTGGGAATCGAAGACACGTTTTTCTGGCTCCCAAACTTCTGTTTTGCCATCTTGCAAGTGGCCTAGGGGCATTCGCTCAAAACACACCATCTCTCAATGAATCTCATACATGCAGCAGGTCTCAGGAAAGTGCAGGTGGAAAATGAGAATCTCAGGCAGGCTCTCCAGGAGGAGGCCTGTGGAGGAAGTGGGACAGCAAGGGGAGGACTCCATGTGATGTTTGTCTTCGCAATGCGTTTTGGTGATGACAGAAACTTTATTGCCCCAATCCATCTGGAAACAACATTTTAAATATTCCCCCCACCCCGCCCCTGCCGCTCCCCAACACCAATTTCCTTCACATACTCCAAAATGACAGACAGAAGAATTTAATACATTTAATGATTTCCCTTCCATTTACACTATCATAAATTACAAAGTATTGTTCACTTCACAAAATAAAACCATTTCCAGATATTTTTTTTTTTTTGGACAGTATCTAGAAGTAAGCGACAACAAACAAGTCTGTACAGCAGGGAGGAGCAATCACAGCAGGGGCATTTTGACCCCATGTGACAATGGAGTCCATCCGCATCGCTCCTCCGGACTTGCCAAGACAATTGCACTACCCCCCTCCTTTCAGCTCACTTATCACAGTAATTCTCTTCTGGTCACTCCAAAACAAGACTAGTGAGTAAGTACACGGATCATCTCAGACAATCAGAGGAAAAGACATGGTAGCCTGATTGAAGAAAAAACAAAAAAATCTAGATTTCCAGTTTTTGATGCGTTAAGTATTTTACTTATGTTACAAAATATAGAGATCTTGGCGTGAAAAGCTCATACTAAGATAAACATAATCAATCAGCTGGAACTATAGGAATAAAATCATATGAAATTATTATCCATACAGAGCTACTTTTATTAAAGAGGAACAAATAGTCGTATACACCAAACTTATTCATTCCTGCTTTAAAAAAATAGGCTTGTTTATAAAACAAAAATGAAACAAAAATCAAAAAATTATTCTGCAGATTTACTTTCCATAGATACAAAAATGTGGCAGAAATACAACTGGGTCTTAACATGTGAATCTAGAGTGCTTGCCTGAAAAGAAAACAGGAAAAAAATGTTAACTTTTTATACAGCCTAGATACAACCAGTGCTCCCAAATTATTTTATGTAAAATTGACCACATTCTGCATATTCTGGGATATACACACATGACATGGGAAACCTACTACCAATTCCAAAAACATACTTTGGGATTTTACAAATTTTTATAGAAAGAAAATGTCTGGATGCTTTAGATCGTCCTATAGTTGCTATAAACATATGCCATACGATAGCAAAATGCCAGTGCTTAACAGCAAAAACTATCCAAAACAGAGACACAGGTGGCAGGTGGAATTTCCTTGCAAAGCACTGGGAAGGACAGAGGTATGTCGAGATAATACTGCATTCATGGTAAACTTTTTCAGGGGTCACAGCAAGAAGGCAGGACAAGGTACACAAGGTAATAACCAATGCACTGCATTGAGTTCTATTTGCTAAAATAAAGTAACATTCTTGCAGCTAAAATAAAAATACATTTTACAATATAAGTTTCATTTAACATTTAACATATAGAATTGTCTTCTTTTCTGTAAGTGGAAAATGTAGAACTGCATCAAGTACCTCTAGGAATTAAGTTCCCTTTTATTACTAAGACTGAAGCTTAAAGGTCTACATTGTTTTTTTTGTTTTTGTTTTTGTTTTTTAATAAGTTAAAGAAAGATTTATTAATCACTCTTCCAGCCAAACAGACATACATACGAGGCACGGCAAGGACCCCAGGTGAGGGTCTTTTCTCACCCTCACCCTTGCTGTTCTCACACGGAGGAGGCGAGTGTCTATGAGACACAATAGCTGACTTGGCCATCCACTGTGGTCCAGGAAATTCTGTCACTTGCTTGGAAAAACAAATCAAGTGTAAGAAATGCTTTGATTCCCTTAGCTTTCACAACATTGATGGGGCTGGGGCCATTCAACTCATTCCTCTGGTGGATTAAAACAAGACATCTTCATTTTCTATTAAAATCTGCACTATCAGCTTTTGGTACCGCATGTCATGGAGGGTGGTGAGTGTGCTGTCCTCAGGGGGTCTCATCAGGGTGGGCCCAAACACGATCCCCAGGTTCTCAGCATTCATGAAATTGTCCTTTTCGTTCATAGTCACCCTGCAGAACAAACATTACACTGACTTGTGGACTCATTTATAGACTGATGATATACATATGCCCCCCAAGAACTTCTCTGGTTTGGGAAATTGCAAAAGGAAATAGAGAATCAGAATTACAGAGAAGTATTTTTAAAAAGGTAATTTTTCTCATTTTTTTTTCTTCTTTCTTAGATTGTTCACATTGCCTTCAGCCAGTGGAGGTGAATTTCTAAGTGAATCTGGTATAGACACAGTCTTTAAAATTAGAAACCCAGGCCTTCTAACTAAATACACGTGAAACGGTCATTTAGGGAATATTGCTTTGGAGGGGCAGATTGTTAGCTGGCTCACAGTGCACACGGATTTTAGTCTAGGCTCGTATGGAAGTCTTTTTCCCTCTTGTCGCTTCCTTTTGGTCTATAAGCTGGCAAGGAGGGAAGCTGAGGGCAGACTTTCTGTCTGCCAGCAGGGCTAGTGCCAGAGGAGAAAGGTTACTTGTAGGATGGGGCTGCCATATGCTGAGGAATAGCCAGGCCATTATCATGGGACAGGGGGATGGCTAGAGTGTGGCCAAACAGGAAAGCAGCTGAACGTTATTTCTAGCTCCCACAGGATGAAGTCTGGAGTAGTAATTACTGTTGGAATTGAAAATCATCATTTCAACATCCAGATAAGAACTACAAAGCCTTCAAGAGTGAAATTCAGACTCCAAAGTTGGCTTAATACCTTCTAGTGGAATGAAGTTACAACCCTCCAGATTTTTACTTTAAGAAATTTAGGGTTTAGAATGTTCATAAATAGATCTAAAATGGAACAGGTTCTCCAAAGAGAAAAATATAATTAAAACATGTGGAGGTTTTGCAGAGAAGGTCATTCCTTTGTGTCTGTTCTCTTGGGACTTATTAAGATGAGCCATTTAGCATTATTTTAGGAAGGTCAATTCAGCTTGCATTATTTTCACGTTGCAAAGCGAAGAAAGAGGTAGGAGAGTACTTTCTTCACAAAAATTGCTCCCATCTCCCCATTAAGTCAGGCACCGCGTCTGGCCAAAACAAGATGTCTAGCACACCCGCCACAATGAAAACACTGAATTATGGGCATTTCAGATGCAACTGGATCCTGTTAGTATTTTTTCCTGATCATCATCCAAACTATAACAACTGGGCACTGAAAGAAATAATTTATAGGTAATTAAAAGCCAGGCTGACATTCACAGTCTGTTACTTATCCAAAAAGTTATCTGTACTCTTAAATTCAATACGTTAATCAAAATGGAAATCTTTTGAGCTAAAGGTTACATCTCTGATCAACTTGAACATGAGCAATAGTATTTATATGTTTTATACGATAGGAGAAAACCCTCAACACCTAGTGTTGATACAGTATGATCAACTTGCTTCCTTTAACTAACTGAATGGATCTGAAAATTAGTCCTATAGAAAATTTTTGGTTCATTTTATCTAAGAATGGGTTGTTGCCATGTATCTTCCAAAAACACAGAGGAAGGCACACAGAAATGCCTTCATCCCTTCAACATCTCAAAGACCAACTCGCTGACCTCATTACACATGGATGGTGAAGGACAAGGAGCCACGGTTTAGGTAGAAGAGTCTGAAAGCAGAGTAGATTCTAGCGGCTTGTAAACACTCAATCATCCATCAGTGTCACGTGCTCTCACACACGTAACCTGTGCAGTGCTCTGTGGCAGGCACCCTTTGAGATGGCCCCCAGTGATCCCGGAATTCATACCCTTAGGTCATCCCTTCCCGTAGAGTATGGGCTAGACCTGGTGACTGGCTTCTAATAAGTAGACTATAGCAAAAGCAATGGGGCTGCCACTTCTGGGGTTAGGTTACAGAAAGGCGGTGTCCTCCATCTTGGGTGCTTGTGCTTGCTTGGTCTGAGGGAAGCCAGCTGCCATTTCGTGAGCTGCCTATAGAGGGACCCACATGGCAGGGAACAGAGGATGGGTGGCCTCCAGAGAACAGTCAGCAAGTAAGTGAGACCTCCTATCCAACAGTCTCTGAGGAACTGAAATCTTCCAACAACCCCATGAGTGAGCTTGAAGGTCACTTCAAGCTCCCCCAGTCCACCCTTCAGATGAGATTGCAGCCTGGCTGTCAGTTTGACCGCAACCTCATTACAGACCTTGAACCAGAGGCACCCAGCTGAGCCAACCCTGGATTGCTGACCATAGAGACTGTGAGATGATAAATGCTTACTGTTTTAAGCCACTAAGTTTTGGGGTGATTTGGTACTCAGTGATAGATAACTAATACATCTAGAAAAACAAGAGATCAGGGCAGGGATGTGCTTGTCCAGAAGGCAGGCAGGCTCAGGAGTCTGGGGCTGGAGTGGGCAGAAGGTGGAAAAGTAGAACACAGCACAGGACCTGTGAGCGGGGAGATGGGACACGGAGGCAGTGTAGACAAATGCTTAAGACAGAGCGTGGGCTCTGGATTGCACTGCCCGGGTTTCTATCCTGGCTTCATGTCGCCTCTTCGTGCCCGTTATTTAACCTCCCCTAAGCTTCAGCAATGTCATCTGTAACACGAGGGCCCTAACAGTCCCCACCGCACAGGGCCAATGCTTGTAAAGTGCGTGGAGCAGCTGGGGGCACAGTGAGTGTCCTAGCGGTTAGGATGGGGCTGACCTGGAGAAGTTCACTTTAAAGGGGTGCCTGTCCATGCAGTGGCTTGGGGAGGGAGGCTGTGGACGGTTTCTAGAGCATTAGCGGAGGGGGGGTCAAGCTGTGAGCTTACTTCTTGAGGTGGATCATTAGGTAGCGGAGGGTCTCGTAGTGGGCAGGAGGCAGCAGCATCAAGACTTCATTGACTGCTTCCAGCCTCTCATCTGCGTTGGCAATTTCTGTGAAGAGCACACAGCAGGAATGTCAGGGCAGCCTTGTGGCATTCAAGTCCGCAGAACAGCCATAAGAAGTTTGGCTACAGATGGAGGAGATGCCTAATAAGCTCCTGCAATTTCAGGTGCTATTCACTAAAAGTAATCAACTTCGCCACGTCCCGCCTCATTCCAGGAAGGCTTTGGGGCTGGGCACCACATGTGTATTGAACACCCGCTGGGTGGGTGGCAGGAGGCTGGCCCTGGTCCTTTTCCTCCAGGAACCTGCACCCTGTAGATGCTTGCTGGTGGCACATGCACACACTGCTTTGCCTATCTTCTCAATGGTGGCTTTGCCAGCAATGTCACCACCACAGGCTTTAATTGAAAGTGGATCACACTTGCTATTGTCCCCTTGAAGTTGTCTAATAAGTCTTTCCCTGGCAGCCTTCCATAAGAGAATACTTGTTACAATGCAAGAGCACTGGTCTGTGAGCCAGCCGACTCAGCCGGCATTCATAGCACTTTTTTCCAAAGTGCTGACATGGTCAGCCCTGGTGTACAGTCCAGGTTGGGAAGTAGATACTGGCCCCATTAACAATGGGAGGAAGCATGCATGCTTCTGCTTTTTAGGTCTCTGGCCGCCAACCAAAGAAAGCTCTCCTATCGTTCCTCCTGGGGTGGAGGGTACCCTGCTGCTAGAACCTTCTCTAGTAAGGACCACCAGGATCCAAGAAGGAATGCTCTTACCAGGGAGCAGGGTCCACAGGTCTCCTGCAAAGTGCATCTCACAGTCATCCCACCCTGCCTGCATATGTCTCTGTCTCATTACTATATGTAGTAATATTTACCTTCAAACATGATATATATTTTATAAAACTTCCTCAGAGTGGGCTTGACATCTATGCTGTGCATTCCAGCATCTGACTCTCTCCTTCCTCACTATGTTTCTAGGCAACATGTAGTCCCCCACCCCCCTGCCCTCTTCTCCACAATGGTCCTCTCTCCTGACAACAGTGGGCCCAGGTGCCAAACACTAAATGAGCAACTCCGATGGAAGACCAGAGATGGTGCTTCATTCCGAAACCCGTGAGCTCAAGTTTTCAAGCCCTGCTTTCCTCCTCTGTAAAATGGTACTATAATAATATTTGCTTCATTGGGTAGATAAAACTAGAGGACTTTTGGTGACAGTTCCTAGTATAGGACCTGACCCAGTATATTCTTCGCCTATTATTAATTTTGAACAGTCTACACCTATTATTAATCTTGAACAGCATTGATGGGCAAAAATGTGAGGTATAACTTGAATCGATTAGCAATAGAATTCTGCCTAATGGATCGAAGTAGCTAATCGGTACGTATGGTCCTCATTAGAGGAGATCTAATTTTTAACTTCAGAAACATTCTTACTTTCAGCATAAAACAGAGTAGGCCTGACTGCGCTGGTTCCCAGCACAGCAGAAACAATGGGGAGACACAGAAGTGCCTGGCACCCAGCTCCAGCCCAGCAGAATTGGCTCGGGACTGGGTCAGCTCAGCTGGGGCACGATGCCTGGTTTTCTATTAACTGTACCCTTGTGCCGACACTTGGCAAAGCAAGTGGCTCAGGCAATACTTTCTACGGTCCGGAGTTTTAATGTTCTTAAATTCATAATCACTGCACCTAAAAATTTGGTACAAGTAAAAAATTCATTCTTAATACTTACTTGCTGCTTCTATGAATTTGGAATAGGTATCGTAGGTGATGACAGGGATGGGTAAGTCTCTGAAATACAGTTTAAGGGCTCCAGCGATGATGTTTATGTCTGGATAGATGTTGGCAGATATATCTGCCTTTTCACCGTCTGAAAAACAATCAATGATCCAATTCCTAATTAGGACCTTATTTCACATTAAAGTGTGCCCAGAAAAGAAAAAAAAATATATCCAACAGTGAATGTTCCCGTACAAGTCAGCTGACTCCTTGGGCTTCTCATATCACTGAGATACAGGAAATAACAAAAAGAAGTTTGCTGAGAGTGATTTTCGGTCTGAAGGTACAAGTAAGCCAAAAGAGGAGTGAAATAAGCCTGACAATAGTTCATTGGGTTCCAGCCCCTGGTCATTTACTCAATAATAGAAATTTCGCAAAAAAATTCATATCCTGGACCAAAGATACACAATAGAATACAGTAGCAACCTAATTTTTAAAAAATCAAGAAGCCCTTATGTAGATCCATCAGTATTCTCTGGAGTTGGATTTGAAGATGACACGCACAACATAATTGTTGAATATCTTCAGTTTTTATTATCTCTTTCAGACTCACTGAACTTTCTTTTGACCTGATTCTTCTTCCTCCAGTCACTAGGACTTTAATTTGGGAAACTTTCCCCTTCCCTAATGTGTGGGTAATGTTATATTTCTTACCATTTTTATAATCGTTCGCCAGATATTTTTGGCTTTTTGTTTTACCATTAGTAAGTATCAGTCCAATTTAACTGTCAAAGACTATAATACTTTTCAGATAAAGTTTCAATAATACAGGGACGATTAGCATTTTCTTTTATAGAGAGAATTGAAAGAAAGAAAAAAAAATGCCTCAGCAAATTTGGTTCTGAGGATAAAAAAAGGCTGATGTACAGAAAACAGTAAGAGTGTGGCACCATGCCCTTCGATCCCATTTACATATTTGACAAACAGTTTTTGAGAATCTGCTGTGTGCCAGGCACTGTTAAGCCCCAGTGAATCAAGGAAGAAAAAACACACTCCATTCAAATGGCTCTAGTCAGATTGGGAGTCAGGCATGCAACCAACAACTACAAGGCAATGTGAAGATTGCTACGCTGGAGACATGTGGAAACGTAGGGGGCGGACATAGCAGAAGGAACTGGAACTCTTCCGTCAGCTTGGGGCGGTCAGGGAGGCTTCATGAAAGAGGAGAGACTAGAGCTGACGCCTGATTAATAGGGAGTGTTTGCCAGGCAGAGATGTGAATACATTCTCGATGGACAGAGCATGGTGAGCCAAGATGCTTGTTCATGACAACAGGTAAGGTGTATTTCAGTGCTGCTGGGGAGTCAAGTGCACAGGGAGGGGGAACTGGCCATGAGCCTGAGCAGACGGGGCAGCCAGATCATCAGAGACCTTGTCTACTGTTCTACCAAGTACAGGCTCCATCCAGGAGGCAGAGGGTTCCATCTTTTGACTGGTTGCACCAGAATTATTTCAACAGTTCATTCGAAATACAGATTCTTGGGCTTACCCAGTTTTCTGAATGAGTCCCAAGGGTGGGCCGTGGTGAAATGAGTTTTTAAACAAGTTCTCAAGAGTAGAGAACATCTGACATAGTCATAAATAAGAAAAGGGGTTACTTCCTAAACTTCCACAGGCTTCCCTACTTCATTGTGGAGATGCCCCACCCCTCTTTCTTATTCCTTCTTGTTTGGAGCTTTGGGAGGTGAAGATTCAACCGGTTCCTGAGCTGGGGGATGCAGAAGGGTCCCCTGTGCCATGTGGACCGACCATAAATGCTAGGCAGCCAACTCAAAAATCTTAATGGCACCAAATGCTGGCTAACTATTCAAGCAGTATTTTAAACTCACGTCCCCATGCAGTCGCTTGTCCACATTTTTAAGGAAACACTTCCCCCAGAGAGGCAGGGAACTAGGAGATCTGCAAACCATTATTCCTTAGCTTCTTGAAGAATGGCTCTCAGTAGCCCTGACACCCCAGTCCCACGATGAATAAAATCTGGTTCCAAAAGCGAGGGTGCTAAGGCTACGTCATTTGGCTTTCACGAAAGCATAAGCCTACCTCTGTCAAATGCCATTTTGACATCTTCGATGTGTTCAGTGAACCCGGAGACTCTGTAAAGGCCTTCTGACTTTAATCCTGTTAAAAAATGAGACAGACTTGAGCTTCCTGAAACATCTAAAAAAGACACTGATTTCATATATACACCGTGTGCTATCAGGAAATGGGCAAATATCGTCAGTGCTCTTATATATTAATGACACACAGTCATCTCAGAACTTGGACTTGTCCATCTCAGTTTCCGTGCATGTCTGTCTTCATTTGATTGTGTGGCAGCGGAGACCTTGGTGATCTGGTTTTCTTCCTGCCTTGCTTTGTAAAGCGAATCCATGTTTACAAGTCTCATCAGCTATGACTTCCTGCTCGCTTTTTTCATCCGACTGCTGAACGCAGTAGCCCTGCTCCAGACAGCAACCCGCCTTCTCCCCAGCATCATCTTAATCTGTGTGACATACTGTGTATAGCACTGTGCTAGGAACACACACATCCATGTCCACCTGTCTGATGCATATTATCCTGATTTCGGTGGAACAATCCAAATTGTATAGCCTTTTCTGTTTAATCATAAATATGACAATCTGTTAAATGTGACTGATTTAATTGCCAGACCTTCAAATAAATGATCATTCAGACAGTTGTAGAAAAATAAAATTCGGATGAATGAGTCTGGAAACTTGATCACTGTTTATTTAGGCTGAGAAAGAGACGTGGCTTCTGCTAATCTTACCGATTCAGTAAGGTAGGTCCTCGGCCGAGCCAGGTCCCAAAAGTATCAGAAGGAAGAGAGGCCCAGATTTCAGACCCGGTGTGTAAAAATTCACTGCTATCAAACTATCAAAGTAATACCTTGGTTTGCGAGCATAATTTGTTCTGAAACAAACTACTCATATTGCAAGACATCGCTCGTTTATGTTAAAATGTATTAGAAATGTTTGCTCATCTTGCGGAACACTTGCAAACCACATTACTCACAATCCAAGGTTTTACTGTATATCTACAGCAAAAATTAGCAAACAAATAACTGCTACTGCAATATATTCTGTCAGACTCTTGATAACTAACATACATTCCTTGTTTTTGCTTGGCAAATGTTTATTGAGTGAGGGTCTGCACCAGATACGACAAATGCATGGCATAAATATCGCCCCTCGTCTCTCCTGTAACCATCAGAGACATTCTTTTTTTATTCTTAAAAATTTACTTTTCAACTGCACATTGAAACCTATGTAATTTTACTATCCATTGTCACCCCAATAAATTTCAATTAAAAAAACTTATTTTTCAATTACCGTTGATGTACAATATATTGGTTTCAGGTGTACAAAACAGCACAGTGACTACACATTTCTATACCTCACAAAGTGATATAACCCTAATAAATCTACTACCCATCTGACACTGTACACAATCAGAGACATTCTTAATTGACCTTCGCTCTTTCTCCCACTGAGCCCCACTCAGCCTCAGAATTCGTCTCAATACAGTTGTCCAGGCTGCCACTCCTGATCAACTGAGTTGGCCCAAAAGATGAGACCTGGTGTCACCCTGTCCTACCGTGTTTCCCCGAAAATAAGACCTAACTGGAAAATAAGCCCTAGCTTGATTTCTCAGGATGCTCGTAATATAAGCCCTGCCCCAAACATAAGCCCCAGTTAAGATCGTCAGCCAGACATGACTGTTTGAATAAACGTAGATTTCTGTACATGCATAAATGAATAAATGTAGACTGTTGGAGCAAAAATTAATATAAGGCCCGGTCTTATTTTGGGGGAAACATGGTAGTTGGTGATGCATGTAAGCATGCTTCAGTACGGTTGTCACCTGTGCTGCAACAGAGGTAAAGGCACAGTGGCACACGGGAACACAATGCAGTGACCACCAACCCTGCCTGTGGACAGACGAGGCTATGGGCAGGGTGGTACTGAGGAGCTCTCTTTGAAGGAAGTCACGAGGGATGGGTTGGAGTTTGCTGGTGTGGCAGAGGCTGCCAGCTCCCCTTCCAATATTAGTTCTCCTGTTCCTCTGTGGTAATGGAACCTTTGATTTTCAGAACAACATCCATGGCAATGGCCATTAAGGTCTGACAGTGTGAAGAGGGCAAAGGAGATGAGTCCAGCACCTGGGTTGTGGACTTGAAGAGTGTGACCTTTTGCCCTCAGCTGGAAAGCAGATGAGATGGCAGTAGCCACCAGGGGTAGCCTGCCCCTGGGGAGCTGCTCAAGTATCCCTGGACTGTTACCAGAGAGAGAAATAGATTTTTGTCCTGTTCAACACAGTATTTTGGGGGGCCTCTCTGACAGCACTGAAACATGTGTGAATTAAGTTGGTCAGATGGATGGATTTGGAGGTGGAGTTAGGGGAGTTGGTCATTCCAAGAAAAGGCAAAAACACAGGTTGAGTTCTACAAGTTAGGCCCTGTACTAGGTCATTAATATGGATTAACTCCTCTTTATGTCGTACAACTGATTCCATTCACTGTGTAGGTGAGGAAACAGATCCTCAAATGGAGTAAGTGACTTGCTCAAGGTCATATGATAGCTAGTACAAGACAGGGCTGGGAATCTAACTTCAAGTCCTTCATCTTTGCATTCTGCCCCATCACACAGAAACAGAGGGGCATCAAAGAGCATTTGGAGAACAATAAGGCATTTGCTAGGGATGGAAGATGAGGTCAGATGTTGGCAGTGGTGGGAAAGAAACTGGGAATGGAAGCGGCATGTGGATTTCTTCCAGCCCATTCTCTGGTTCTGCTCACATGCACGGGCCCCTGATACCTGTAGCTCCAATCCCTTTTCTGTGACTCCCTGGCCTAAATTCCTAATTTGTGGTATTCCAGCTCTTGCACTAGGCATCCTTAGTGCTGTGCCCACCCCGTGGACACCTTACACATCAGACAGGGTGGTTACGCTGCTCAGATTATCAGTCGTCTCTGATGAGGGTCACTGTGGGGTGGTCCCAGCTTCTCCAGAGAAGCATAGTCCTGATTGTAGGTTCCAGAGAGGCTGGTGATCTGACTCCAAATTGCAGAGTCTTCTAACCAGCACCTAGGGTCACTTTTCTCAGCCTCTCAGCCAGAGTCAGGGCATCCCTAATCAGCTCTCACCCAGCTCAGCCCTGGCATCAGTACCTCACCAGATCTCAAAGCACCCACAGCCACAGCAGTCAAGGAGCAGGAGGCATTTCTTACAATCTGAGATTAAATGAGCAAGTCTTAAGGGAACAGAATAGCTATAGTTTTCACCCTGTATTTTCTGTCTCTAAAAGGCTTGGTTGAGATAATAAGCTATAATGTGCTCTTTTGTTTTGTTTTGGAAAGAATGGGATGGTTGGCCAAAGCATAAATACCTGTAGAATATATTAAGCCAATCGGGACACAATAATGGATATCAACTAGAACAGAGTACATATATGGCAAAAATGATTACAACCTTGGGCTTTTTACATGGTCCAATTATCTAAGTTATCCTAGCTCTCCCCCACCAGACTCAATCCACCATATCTCTGAACATTTTGACACTAAAGAGCTGAAGAGTAGCCAAAACAAAGCACAAAGGAAAGATGACTCAAGTGTAACATGAAGAAGCTTTTCTTTGAAATGTTTCTCTCTTCCTTACCTCCTTGATTCTCCAATGCATAGATATTTTTAATCTTTTAACTCTCCTCTTTGAAATAAACACAACCAATACTAGGAGTGAACTTCTATGTGGTAGGCAATGTTTATGTTGGTCAATAATTTATTTAATAGGAGCACCTTTTAAGACTCGATTCAAACCTCTTCTCTGCCATAACCCTTTCTGAATTACTCTCAGATAAGATTACAACATCTTCCTCTATGACTCCACAGTGCTTTGAATACACGCACACACAACATTTATTTATTTGGCCCTCTGATTCTGCATAGTACAGTGTAAGTTTCTTGAAGCGGAGAACTGTGATATCTAGATCCTTAATGAGTAGCACATAATAAATGCTTAGCAAGCATGTGTTGAATGCATACATGAATAAATATCATACATGCATGGTCAATGTATGAAACAGAAGTTGATTTAGTTTGTGTGTGTGGAGAGAGAGGCAATTTAACAATTGTCAGAAAATTTCCTTGACAACAGTAAAAATAAAATCACTCCAATAAGGAGTCTTTTCCAAACCTCTTGCTTCAATCTCCCGGATGCATATGTCTACCACCATGGGTCTCTGAGAGTTGTGAGCCTTGACGAGTGTTGTGAGGTCACAACAATACACCTTCTTGATCCTCTTTAGATCAGGCTGGCAGTCGTTGGGAACGTGCTTGGAACACTGTTTGTGTACATTCAATCCACAGTCTGTAAACAAAAAAGCCACATTAGACTGGCCCTGCCCTTTTGTCAAAGCCCAATGCAAATTATATGTTACCAAAAACAAACATGAAAACACCCAAGGGTTTGCTGTATCTCCCTGGAACATCTGTCCCACTGGGAGGTGGTACTCTCCACAGGATGAGTACGAAATCCATCTTTACTCATGAACCTCTTACATCATTCCATTTTCCTTGTTAAGCTCTTTCTGCTGCTGGACCACAAGAAGAGAACCTCTCATGAGACAGTTTTGGTAATCAGGCAGGTTGTTTGTATGTTTGTTTTTTTTCCTTTGGGGACCGGAAGCTTTGTGTCCACATGTGGGCTTTTGGATTTGGAGTCCCAGGCTCACAAAGGACACCTGGGATTTTTGCTGGGCTGCTTCCTTGACGTTCCTTTCATGGAAGACAAGATCGCTGTCTGCACAAACTCATGACCACTGCCATCTCCCCCCATCTCCCCCTTTCCTGGAGAGCTGCCCACAGTTTCCACTCCCTCCTTGTAGGCAGTTCGGGTAGGCCATTTTCCTTTCTACTTGCCTTATTTTGACACCTGTGAGTGGAAATAATGTCTAACTGGACACCAGTGGGAGTACCCAAGAGTTCACAATTTAGAACAATGCCGTGTAATGTGATGATTAAAGTAATTATTTATAAAGCTCATATCAAGATTTGAAGCTGAAAAGGTGCTTTTAAGTTCAATGAACACATTGTGTGCCTAGTAAAATCTTGTTAGCAGTTGGTGCCCACTGGTGGAATTTCCCTAACAATAACAAGGCACAGTCTACGTGCCGGAAAATAAAAATTTCATGCTGAAGTTGTTCAAAGTTGATGTGCTGCCTACTCAAAGTGCCTTCTAATATTAATTGTTTTGTAAGTATAAAGAATAACAATAGTAACAAATATTCTATTTTATATGCATTTATAAATATATCTTAAATATGTGAGAATAAATATAATCATCTGCTTTATAAAAAAGCACTTAACGGGCCGGCCGAGTGGCGCGATGGTTAAGAATTCGCTTGGGATGCCAGAGGTCCCGGTTCGGATCCCACATATGAGGGCCAGTGACACTGCCCTCTACAGCTAAGATGCTGAACAACAGCTCAACGTGGAGCTGGGCTGCCATGAGTCGCCGGCGACGGCATAGGCTGCACTCCCTGTGGCAGTGAGTTGCCATGGGCTACCGTATGTAGCCAGCAGCCAGCGTGAGCGGCCAGCAG